CCTAAGATCAGTCACTTATAACAATTTAACTCTCCCACTAAAACAGACAACTAAACATGGAATTAATTCCATTACATACCAGTGTATCCTTTCTTGGAACTCCCTTCCGTACACCCTAAAATCAGGTCTCATCCTTAAGTTCAAGATTCTGTTTTTAAAGTCACTCCATCATTTCTACCTAAAAGGTTACGCTTAACTTTACTTTTTATTTTTTTATTTTCTACCTTTTGACTTATTTTTTTATTTTTATTATAGTTTATTATTTTATTATAATTTTATTTTTAATATTTTATTTTAAATAATTATTTTTATTATAACTTACTTATTTTATTATATTTCTTGTTTAAGTAAATGTGCATATATAAATGTACATTATATTAAGTGTTATATATATTAAAAAGTCTGAATTTTTTGGTATAATTAAATAAATTTTTATGCAATTTTACTTTTATTAGTTAATATTATGTTTACTTATTTAACTTAACTTCCTTTTATAACCTACTTTTTTATGTGGTTTTACTTATTAGATATTATAATTATTGTTTATTAAAAAATAGCCCCCAGGTTTTAGTTTTCACGTTATCACCGTCATCTTGATTGAGAACCACATCACCATTTCTCAACTCCTGTCGAACCCTAACTTTGCTTATTTGAGTGACTCTCTGATTTTCCGAGTTCGATATTCTGGGGCTACAGATAATGTTTTGCTGCGCCAATAATAATGTCAGGATTAATGTTCGAGTTAGGTTTAAGTTAAACATTTGCAATAGCTTCTTTTCAATGTATTTGGAATTCATAAGCTCCAGAGCCTGTGTTTGTAATATTATTATCTAGGAAATTGAGTTGTTTGAGGTTTGTATTCAATTTCCACTGTTTATTTTATGACAGGATGCTGTTCTTTAAGGATGTTCAGGATCATTTAGTGTTGTTTTATTGAAGAGAAGCAAGCGTGACAATCATCTACATATATTTTGTAAGTTTTTAGTTCGGATGTATGAACAAGATTTTAATAGTCGAAATAAGCAAAGCTAGGGTTCAACACGAGTTGAAAAATAGTGATGAAGTTCTCAATCGAGATGACGGTGATAATGTGAAAACTAAAACCTGGCGGCCATTTTTTAATATAATCTGCTGACGTCGGTTAATTGAAAAGTTTTTTTGTATTATATTTTGGCTTTTTAGTGTTATCTTTTTAACGGTTTGTTTTTACTATAACCTTTTCTTAACAACTACTTTATTTATTATAACTGATGACGCTGATCAAGATAGATCAGCGAAATGTTAAAAAAGTTATATATTAAAGAATATATTTATTAACCAGTCACCCAGTGGGCACACGACGTTATTTTGACGTTGATTTACGGTTGATTTTTAGTCGCTCGTCGTATAACCAAAAATCAACATTGTATCAACGTTGAGAATTAGTTTAAAAATATATAGGCACATGTGTAAAAATTTTAAACTATTTTTACTATTAATTATGATATATCATTGAAAAGAAAATTTCATAACAAAATAACAATTCTACAAAAAGTTATGCTCATTTAAGTAACAAAGTTCGATTACAAGGGTTGCTTAAAAAATCTGCGACCAGTTTTAAACTGTATTTGGCTAACGGTAGTTTTGTTATGGAACTTTGTAGCTAGAAGCGCAATATTTTCCTTTATTTGCAATATTTTAACTAAGGTACATATTCTGCTACAAAAAAGTAGGTGTTTGCTACATAATCTTTTTCGATAAAATTTGGCATGCACGTAGAAAATAAGTTTTTAAATTTTTCTTAATAATTTCAAAAATGTTCTCAGCATTCCTTCAATATTAGTTTGACGTGTGATCAACGACGAAGTTTTTAAGAAAAGTAAATTCAATAAAAGCGGTTGTAACTACAAAAAAAAACTATCAAAAAATGAAGTTTAACTCTTCCACTTTTTAAAAAAAGTCTATGCTGATATAAAATCCTAAAAAATAACACAACAAAATACATTCTTACAACTCAAACGTTAATTTTTTTGCTTGTTACGCTCCCGTCCTTAGTAGTGATGTGCCGGGTACCCAGTTCGGACCCGGGGACCCGGCAGTTCGGCTGTTTTACCGGGTACCCGGTATCGGCCATTTTGTTGCAGTACCCGGCACCGGGTATCTTCAAATTGATTTTTCCTTAAATTTAAACTTTAACCATTAAAGTTCTTGATATAAGTCTAAAAAATGTTATGTAGTCGATAACCACAAAGTTCTATTAACTTAAAACAATCTCACTTAAAATATTTTTTAATACATTTTTGCAAAAAAATTTATACGGATACAAAAACTGTAACGCTAAATGAAATAATTCGAGAATACGAATAAAAAGAATGGGAGAAAAAGTTTTAGAATAGCTTCTTTTTATTCTGTTAGAACACAAGATAATTTTTAGCAATTTAGTTTTGAATGAAACGCTTATAATGCTTTCGAACGCTGATACCACTTTTCATTCGAATCAAGCAAAAATCATAAAAGTAGAGATATAAGTTAAATATTATACACATTTTTTATATTTTAATTTCGATAATATTTATAACAAAATATTATTTAGGCCCGCTCCACCAGGAAAGAAAAATAATTTTAAACTAAATATAGTTATTAAAAAACTGTTGCACAACTTTTGAAAAAAGTTAGGCCCTTTACCCTGCATTGCGGGGTTTTGTTAAATGGTACTTCCGCCACATAACTTTTGGTTAGTTAGCGTAAAAAGCGTATTTTGTGTGAATAGTTCAGCGCTAGAGATTTCACAAGATTTTATTCCAACTTTAAAAAAATGGACTCGGTGCCGAGAACCCGGACTCGGACCCGGTTTTTTCAGCCGGGTACCCGGAATCGGAGACTCGGCATAAACTGGTTCCGGCACATCTCTAGTCCTTAGAGGTTATCCTTAGAGAAACAATCAAAATATTGTTTGAAACAATGAAAGAAAAAAGATTGCTACCCCATGTTAAACTCTCAGTTGATTTAGCAGCACTTCTTTTTAGCAGGCTATAAGATAGTCGATATAGTAGCACTTCCTTGTAGCATTAGGTTATAAGATAGTTGATGTATGTAGTGAAGCCAATAAATATTCTCTGTTTATATTAAAAACTCATTATTTTAAGCATGTCTCCACGCAAGATCGCAACAAGCGAAAAAATAAAATTATTTTAGGCAGCTTAACTGCAGATTTATCGCTTTTCAACAACCATGTGATTCAAAGAGTTTGAATATTGTTCATATTAAAAAAAAATATCTATCTGAGAAATGTATAATAAATAAAGCAGATTTTTCCTGTAAAATTATGTATAAAAATGGATTTGTACTTGTACCTTTAGTCCATGATATTGTTTGGTAGCACAATTTTCATTATATATATATATACATATATATATATATATATATATATATATATATATATATATATATATATATATATATATATATATATATATATATATATATATATATATATATATATATATATATATATATATATATATATATATATATATATATATATATATATATATATATATATATATATATATTTTTAAAGTTTTTTTAAGATTTATGGTAAAACTAGGGCCCTGTGAATCGGCAGTTTTTGTTTCGAATTGAATCTCAAATCAAAGCAAGTCCTGATTCGCAATTCGAATCACATTTCGAATTAATATTTTGAAGTCTAAATTTAAGCATTTTTTATTTAATAGTATATATTTCAGAATAAAATAAATAAAGCAATTGTATAATCTCTTTATTGATGATTTTTGTCCTGGTTAACCTTTTTAATGACTGATTAAAAAAGTATTTAAAGATAAGTAACGTTATTTTGAAAGCGCCAAAGCCAAGAATATCTAAAATACCCACAACAAAAACGAAATAAGCAAGTTTTCGATTTTTGAAAATTTTTGAATTGTAACTTGAATCATATTTTTAATTTGATTCGATACGAAATTTTGCAGGCCCATAGGTAAAACACTTTTTAACAAATTTTAGCACTTTAATATCAATATAATTTTCACTAGGCAGTTAAAGTTGTAATTTTCTGTTAGTTAGTTTACACTAACAAATATTTTATGTATGAGAATAAAAAGTGTTGTTTTTAAAAATAAACTTTTCCTGTTTTTAAAGTATAGTAGGGCAAGCAAAATGTACATTCAAGCTGTTTGAATGGAAAATAGAGAGAAATAGGGAGAGATAATACGATTGATAATTTTTTGTGTTAGCCATCATCATTAAATGTAATAAATTGTTTCAATGAAATGCATGAACCGCAGTCTAACTAATACAGATTTAAGCTTCTCAAAATTAAATGTTGTGGAGGTAATATAATTTTGTTTATAATTTTGTTTGGTAATATAATTTTTTTTTTCCTTTTTTCTTTAAATTGTTCTATTTCTGTATATGTTGTTTTTAGTGTTTAGGATATATTTTTTATATTATAATATATATTTAAAACATAGTTTTAAATTGAATGATTATTCTTAGATCATGAGTTATGCCATAATTTTGAATTTGACACTACTAGTGATACTCAGATAGAACTATTTTAAAAGATTTAAACTTAAGTTAAAAATTTATTTAAATATTACTAGTTTTATTTTTATATTATTCATTCTTATGCAAGAGAAAACATAATCCAACCAAAAATAACCAACAGAATAGTAAGCAAGTACCTACTCCTTTAATGCAAAAAAAAAAAAAAAAAAAACTTTTATGTATACTCCACATACTGTAGCTCAAGGTATTGATTGTCTGTCTGCAAGTTGTTTTAAAAAGAAAAGATTCAAATGTTTTTTGCAATGCTTCAGTAGCTTACACATTTTATTTGTTGTTACATAATATATTTTATTTATTTTATGTGTTTTAAAATTAATTTTTTATTGTTGATTTTTATTTATTTGTTATGACATTTTATTTCATTGTTACGACATTTATTTTTATATTAGCATTTAGTAAAAGCTATTTTATTTCTAGTATTCTAGAATTGATTATTTTTTTACATTGATTGATTAATTTTTTGATCTTAAAGATATTTAGATCAGCAATGGCAAGATTTTCCTGAGGAAAGAGAGGATATTAATATAGTGCAAACCCAAAATGGCGCATGTGTTTTTCCGCAGAAAATAAAAAAGTTGTTTTGCCAGAGACACCTGCATTAATTTCCCTTATAAGAAAAGCTACTAAAAAAGATTCCTCATCAAATGGAAAGTCTCTCATTACTGAGGAAGGTATGTGAAATATTTGGTATTTATTTTGCTATGTATTCATTTTATTAATTAGTAAAAAAAGCAAGTAATTATCTTTAAGACATTAGAAAAAATATATTTTTTGAAAATGCAATAGTTTTGTTTGTTTAATAAACAGATATTTTGATAAAGTATGTTTGTTTTTGTGTTTCAATGCTTTTAGAAATAAATTAATGTTTGTTTCTTTTGTGTTCCTGTTATATCTTTATTATTTTAGAATATAGAATAGAATTTTAGAAAAAAGTTATATATGCACTGGTAGAAATGAAAGAGATGTTAGTAAAACTCTTTTCAGTATTTAAAATGATATCATGACAAATAGTCCTGAAATTTGATGGATTAATTCGCAGCAGTCATTCAATGATTATGATAACAATTTAAATGATTTTTGGGTGAGATCTGAAGGATTTTTCTTTTTGGGTGAGATCTGAAGGATATTTCAAATCATGACTTTTTGCAGCTTTTTTATTTTTTTTGAGATTATGTATTCGCTTAAGTTAATCTACTTGTAAATTATGATAAATGTACTATAAAAGTAATGTAGTGTAATTATTTTCTTAATCCTTTAGGGATTATGATAACAGTTTAAAAAAGGTGATGTCTGAAATGGTAGATTTTTTAAACCATTACTTTTTGCATTTTTAAACCATTACTTTTTGCACTTTATTTTTTTAATGTTTTTTTATCGATTATGTATTTGCTTAAGTTAATCTACTTGTAACTTTTTGTAAATGTACTATAAAAATAATGTGATGTATTTATTTTCTTAAACCTTTAGGTTAAAAAAATTTTCTAAAATAAGAGGTTTTTACACTTACAAAAAATATGATGCAAAGGTTAGTAAAAAGTTTTGAATAAAAAATCTTTGAATCTAGTTATTATAATTTTTCATAAAAATATGTTTAGCTTATGTTTCTAAAAGTTTGACGAATTCTAATCAGACATAAAATAAATCTTTTTTTTTTTTAAAGATTTTTATTAATATCTGATTAGAACTTGCTTTTTGATTTTTTTTGTATGTCCTTGAGCTAAAGAACAACCTTAAAGTAAAAAAGTTGTTTGGTAACGCATACTTAACCTCATTTTTACTATGTATATATACATTCATATATATGTACATAAATAAACATACATGTATATGTATGTTTATATACATACATATACATACATACATACATATGCGTATATGAATATATATATGTATATATATATATATATATATATATATATATATATATATATATATATATATATATATATATATATATATATATATATATATATATATATATTGTTGTTTTGATTATTTGATAATAATCAACTCTTTTTCGATTTGAGAGTGATCAATATAAAGTGAAATAATCACAAAATAGATCAATAAATAAATAAATAAAAGGTTAGATGAGAAAAAACAACTTTTTTACGGTACTTAAAGTTTCATGCCGTTTTCGGCACTCATCAGCCATATATTTAAATCAAGAAAAAACCGTTCAAAAATACAATTAAAAAACCGTTACAAAATTCAAAAAAAACAATGGAATGAGTTCTGACGTCAAATAATTATAATACAAATAATAGCAAAAATAATAATGATTATAATAATAATAATAATAATAATATAATAATAACAATAATAATAATAATAATAATAATAATAATAATAATAATAATAATAATAGCAATAATATTAACAATAATAATAATATTATGGAAAAAACATATTTTCTAATCGCCAGTGTCAAATTGAGAAAGGAGGAATCTGTTTCTATGCCTGCACTTAGAAACAATCTCACTCCTTTTATTTAGTAGATTGGTATTTTTATAATTTAGGATTTCATATTTTTCGGTGAGACATAATTTACAAGATTTGGATGTAGGATTATATGCTTTACATCGCCTGAGAACTAAATTGGCTTCTTTTATTTTCCATACCTGCTTTGACAGCTCAGTATCATTTTTGTATTTTGGGATGTTAAAAGATTTAACGTGGTTAGCGTATCTCAATTTAAAAGAAGTCTCACTTACACCGATGTAGGATTTTTCGTTAGGAGATGAATCACTAGTGGTGGTTACAGTTGCTTGGTATACAATGCTGCTTGTTAAACATCTATTGGACAACGGGCAAAAATTTTTATCTAAGCAGTTACAGTTTTCTTGATTAGAGTTTGCATCGTTGTATAAAATGTACTTGTTGTGCGAATTTATGATCGATTTCACACTTGGCATACAACTGTAGCTAACTTTGACTGTGTTCCTGTTAAAGATTTTATGTAGTTTGTTATTATTAGGAAAATGTTTGCCAATTAATTTCAAAAAACATTTTCCTACGTTGGTGCTAACATTTTTGCTAAATGGAGGATTAAACCAAATGATGTTGCGTGCTCTGTTCCGTTTTTATTTAAATATTTCGGAAAGATGCTTTTTTATTTTTTCCATTTGAGGGCCGCTTTTATTCCTAAAAACTGCTAATCCATCATCACAGTATAAACCAACCTCAAACTTGTTATAAAATTTTGAAATTTCGAAAAGAAGAAATATTCCTACAAGCTCACAAACCTCCGCGCCGTCAAAAGCTCCCATGGAGACATCAAATAAACCACTTGATTGCTTTATCCAAACCTGATTATTATTGAAAAGCAAAGACTTTCTTGCATGAAAAATTAACGATATATTCTCTTTATTTAGTGTTAAGTGTTGCTCTGCGAATTTGATAGAGTTTTTTAGAAGTGTTTCACTAATAGAAGGGTAGTTTTAGTTCCTATAGTTAAGTGGAAAATTCTCAGGCGATGTAAAGCATATAATCCTACATCCAAATCTTGTAAATTATGTCTCACCGAAAAATATGAAATCCTAAATTATAAAAATACCAATCTACTAAATAAAAGGAGTGAGATTGTTTCTAAGTGCAGACATAGAAACAGATTCCTCCTTTCTCAATTTGACACTGGCGATTAGAAAATATGTTTTTTCCATAATATTATTATTATTGTTAATATTATTGCTATTATTATTATTATTATAATCATTATTATTTTTGCTATTATTTGTATTATAATTATTTGACGTCAGAACTCATTCCATTGTTTTTTTTGAATTTTGTAACGGTTTTTTAATTGTATTTTTGAACGGTTTTTTCTTGATTTAAATATATGGCTGATGAGTGCCGAAAACGGCATGAAACTTTAAGTACCGTAAAAAAGTTGTTTTTTCTCATCTAACCTTTTATTTATATATATATATATATATATATATATATATATATATATATATATATATATATATATATATATATATATATATATATATATATATATATATATATATATATATATATATATATATATATATATATATATATATATATATATATATATATATATATATATATATATATATATATATATATATATATTTATATAATGTATCAATTTTTAATATAACTATAATAATAATAACAATGTATAATGCAGGTTGTTGACCAATGGTTTATAATCAAAATTTAATATGGCTGGCGGTAAGAATAAAGAGAAGTTTGAAGGAACAAACATTTGTAAGGTTGTTATTGGTAAGGCAAGTGTAAAACTATATTTTTAAAAATCAGAGTTCGTTGCTTTGATGCTGTTTTATATATTTTTTTTTTATGTATTTTATGCAACTTACTCAGACAATACCTTTTTTTATAGAGAGCGTCATGTCAATTAAAGCGAATACTACAGTTGCCAAAATAAGAAAAAGAATAATGACTTTATTAAATTACGCACTCGACAGATCGAATGGTCGGCGCGTAAAAGGCAATTCACTAGATCTATAACATTTTTTCCTAATTGTTCTGGAACTATTGTTAAATAAAACTTTTTTTTTTTAACATTTTACTCTATTTGCATTGTGTATAAAGTCCCTTGAAGCAATTTAGTTGTATCTAATTAATTTACTTAAAATATAATATTCTTTGCACAAATTATTGCTTTTTTATTGTGCTATTATATTGCAATTAAAGCTTAGATAATTTTTTAGTTAATTGGATTTAACCAAAATAAAAATCAAAAATCAACGTTGAATTTACGTTGATTCAACGTTGTTCTAACGTCTTATCGACAACGTATTAACCGAATATATCACCTATTCAATATTAAAATATGGTTGATATGTAGTCGATAAGACGTTAGAACAACGTTGAATCAACGTAATCATCGACGTTGTTTCAACGTCGTAGTTTTCAACGTCGGATTTTGTTTTCAATTCCACCAAACTTCAACGTTGTTTTAAATGAACAATTTTGTTCATTTCATAGTGACCAAAAAGTCACCTGAATATCACCTGAATATCACAATGACGTTGAAATAACGTTGAAACAACGTCGCAAACCGACAATATGCCACGTTGAAACAACGTTGAAATTTGGTGGTCTTTAAGGAGGTGACATATTGTTGTATTTTCTACGTACCTCTGAAACGTGTAAACAGTGTGTCGTCAAAGTCAATATTTGACGAAAAATAGTTCTTTATTGCGATAATTATGCTTTTTACAATTACGAGTTTTTAGATTTGTTTACAGAAGAAATGCTAAATTGAAGGTTGAAAAAATCTTTTATTTTATAGGTACCTAATAAACAAATCACATGGTTTCATTATAGTCAGTAAATGAGTTCTTGACATTATCATTTTTTATTTTCCAAATATCTTCCTTAAAAAACCCAGTCATAGAGCTGCAGCCAATCCACGAGGAGTACGCTTCAAGATTTCTCTAACAAATCAGTCGATATTTTCTCCCATACGACACAAAATATACAACACCAAGTGATGCTAACAAAAACTTAAGTAATTATCAATTATTAAATAATCATCTTAAATAACATTTTTCTACAAACCCTGAAGCTAATTAACCAGTTTCAAGGTTTTAAAGACAACAAAATGTTAAAAATTGTCAGAATCAGTCATCAAAAAACAGTGTTTTTCTGTATCAAATTGTTTCTAAACTCAACGTTATCCTAATATTTCCAAAATATTAAAATCGGCAAAACCCTATTTCTAATATTTTATCCTAATTTATAAAAATCAGATCGACTCCTGATTTTGAGTAACTAAAGATATTTTTGGCATATTTTATAAGAAATATTTCATTATACTTTAAAAACTATTGAGATTTTAATTATTATAAAAAAACGTACCCGGAATCACCTTAGAAAACAGTTGTATAATCAGACATTGTCACAATGTCTGATTATACAACTGTTTTCTATCTTCTTTATTATATTACATATATGTCTGATTAGACTTCTTTATTATATTATATATATATGTCTGATTATACAACTGTTTTCTATCTTCTTTATTATATTATATATATATCGTTCATTTACTGTAAGAAATCTCAGTCAAGACAATCCAACTAATATGTTACTTATGTAAGTAAAAATATTATATATAAGAAAGTGGCTTGTCTTGACTGAGTTTTTTTACAGTGAATTATATAAACTATATTATACATATTGTACATTAGTATAATATGTATAATAAATATAAGTATATTATATATATAAATTATAACTATTTTTTAAATATATTTTGATATAATAATATCTATTTAAAAAAATTCTGAAAAACTTTTTATTCTAACTTTTTGGCATTATTATCCTTATGATATAAATATTATTTAAATTTTTTTTTTCGTAATTACTACAATTATCATCAGTACTTTTTGTTTATTTTTTTTATTAGTAAAACCTGCAAATTGATTTCTACATGTTTGTTTTGATCTATATTTTATGTGCTTTGGTTTGTGTGTTTACGGTTTATGTGTTTCAGTGTGTGTCTTTGCTTATTATTACCTATATTTTATGAAAAATTGGTGTCAGACTTTGATCAGATTTCTCTATGAGTGAAACCATTCTAATAAATCATTAACTTATTATTATATTAATATTAGTTATTATTATTATTTTTTCATTGTAATTATTGTAAACATACTTATTAATACTATTACTATAATTTGTATAACTATTTTTTTTATCTTATGTTATTATTATATATTTTTGCTATTATTATTATTATCATTATTATCAAAATTATTGTAAAATGATTTACGGAAAATAAATAGCTTGTTGTTGATGTTGTTGTTGTTGTTGTTGTTGTTGTTGTTGTTGCTGCTGTTGTTGCTGTTGTTGTTGTTGTTGTTGTTGTTGTAATAATATATTAACGATATTTCGACGACCTATTGTGGTCATCGTCATCAGGTAATGATAAAACGCAACAAAAAAATCAAAATTTGTTATAAATTCAGAAGAAGAAGCAGTAGCAGAGGCTGCACCATTAATGACATTCTTTGAGACAGAAAACCACAGGTATAATAATTTTTCGTAAAGTATCCATGCCACAATTTCGCATTTCATAACACCCAAAGAAAAATCAGTAATAGCTTTTATGAAAATACTAAGTAAACAAGTTTTTTCTTTAATGTGATTCATCATAGTTCCTATTATGATTATCATGAATCTCATAAAGGATAAACAATATTAAAATTATACTTAATAAGTCTAAAATCTTCTTCTTGATTATAAAAGAAAACCAAGGAACAAATACTAGTTTTTATCGATGCAACTATAAACAGCTTCTACTTGTAATAACTCTCTATCTTCCTTTCTTGTATCCAAAGGATATCGTGATATCAAAAGTTCTACACAATTAAAGTAAAATTCGGTTGCCTAACTTTAAAGGAAATGATGCTTTTCTTTATCATACTAACTTTTTCTTTAAACTTTTCATTTTGAACTAATCATCGGCCATGTTATATGTTTAATAAAATTAATTAATTTAATAAAACACAAATTTAGCAGGGTGTAGGTCAATGGGGAAGTCCGAAATTTATTTTCCACATTTGAAACCTTTTTTCTCCTTATATATTACTTTAAGTGCAAGTTATTAAAATGATACACAGTCTAGTGTAATAAAACTGGGGATGTCTATTGATATATTTTGATATATACTAGTTGTTACTAACTAATTTTACCACCTAGTGATAGTTAAACAATAAAACTTAATAAAAATTGTACTCAGGGTGTATGTCAAAAGGGAAGTCCAAAGTTTGTTCTAACTGAAATAATCATTTTGATTTTTTTTAAACCAATGAAAGAAAAAATTCAAAAAATAAAGTTCTGTATAACAAAATAAAATAAGGTATGTCAATTCAAGTTTCTAATTAAGTTATTTAACTCAAAAGTTAGTTTAACATCCATCAAAATATTGTAATTATTATTTTTTAACAATCGCAAAATTTTGAAACCGGTATACTATTTTCCGGTTTTTAATATTTTGGAACTTGAACCGTTTTCCGGTTTTTAATTTTTTTCCAACCGTTCAAGATAATTAATCGTGCATAATTTGTTTAGTTTTAGCTGTAGTTTGGTTTTAATAGTTATATATAGTAAGACTTTTTTCAACAATATAATCAAGTTAAAAAACTTTTATTTAATTTTTTCGGGTACGTCCAACGACGTACCGGACATCCCCTTGAGACGCCCCTGGTAAGGTTCTCTGAAATTATTGCAAAAGAATAAAAGTTTAAAAAAATATTATCAATTATTGTCTTAGAATGGGTGGTTATTTGAGTAGGCTGTATAATAAAAGGAAAAAGAGAATTCCAGACCATTGATTCTAAAAAATAAGATATCTCGTTGGAGGTATTGTATTTGAGCAAATCAAAGTTAAAATCTCCCATTAGGATAAACTTTTTTTTGTCTACCTGATTTTCTCAAGAAGTGGATTTAGGTAGTAATCAACGAATTCAGTTGGACAAATTGATGGAAGGCGACATAAACAACCCACTATTAGACTGCTTTTTCTTAAATTTATAACTTCAATAAATATAGATTCGAGTTCCTTACTTTTAAGCAGGAATAATTCAGATCTAATTTTAAAATTGAAGTTAGACTTAATATACATTAAAACGCCACCTTTTTTTAGCTTTAGTTGGCGTGTGAACAGATACATATCCTTCTAATTCAACGTTAGTTATATGAGATATCATTATGGTGCAAGTTAGATTCAGTAATCCCAATGATATCAGGTAAATTATCAAAAGATGCTAATAGTATTTTAAGGTCGCCAATATGGCAAGGTAATGAAGATATATTTATATGGAAATAACTTAAAGAACTTTGGGACAATTTATTGTGCATAGAAACATGATTTTTAGCAACCGCCTTGAAGCATATGCCGCATGGTTGTTTCACTACCATCATTAAAAAGTAAAATAGGATAAACAAAAGATGCTAAAAAGAAGAAGAAAAAAAGGTATAACAATAATAATTAAAGATAAGTATAGCAATAATAATTAAAAATAAGTATAACAATAATAAAAAAAACTAAAAATAAGTAACAGTTAAGATATATTTATATATCAAAACTAGATAAAATTAAGTTATTTATAAAATAATAAAAAATATATCAACTAACAACGATTAACATAAATGAAAATGATGTACAGATAAATCAGAATAAATAATATATAAATAATAATATATTTGTAGATAATAAATATAGTTATAGACAATATAGCAATATATCAACATAGCAAAAAATAAAACACGCTCCTATACTTCTCAACCGTGACAGTGGCATTAAAATTTCTACAAACAGTTTTTTTGGACAATTTTTTTAAACAGAGGTCTACTAACAGTTAGAGACCTCTGTTTAAAAAAATTGTCCAAAAAAACAAAGTTAAATAATATTTGCTATTTTTTTATTTTATATTTTATATTTACGTTGTTATGCAATCATTTATTGCGTCTTTTTAATTTCTTCTTTGACGTTTTTATGTAATGTTTGCAACGGTTTTTTGTATTATATTTTACGTCTGATGACGATCTGTGCAAAAACAGGTCGAAATATTATGAAGAAAAAATTTAGTTAGTAGTTAGCTGTTGTTTTATGGTTTATATTTTAAATATATATATATATATATATATATATATATATATATATATATATATATATATATATATATATATATATATATATATATATATATATATATATATATTCACGTACAACAAAATATGACATTGAAACATATATATATATATATATATATATATATATATATATATATATATATATATATATATTCACGTACAACAAAATATGACATTGAAACATATATATATATATATATATATATATATATATATATATATATATATATATATATATATATATATATATATATATATATATATATATATATATATATATATATATATAAATATGTATAAGACTATTTATATTTATTTAAAAATAATGATAAATAACATTAATTTTTGAGCTTCAAATAGTTAAGTTATTCTTCTTGTTTTTAAGTTATTCTTCCTGTTCTAAAGCTATTCTTTCTGCTCTCAAGTTATTCTTTCCGTTCTTAAGTTATTATTTCTGTTCTTAAGTTATTCTTTCTGTTCTTAAGTTATTCTTTCTGTTCTTAAGTTATTCTTTCTGTTTTTAAGTTATTCCTTCTGCTCTCAAGTTATTCTTTCCGTTCTTAAGTTATTATTTCTGTTCTTAAGTTATTCTTTCCGTTCTTAAGTTATTCTTTCCGTTCTTAAGTTATTATTTCTGTTCTTAAGTTATTTTTTCTGTTCTTAAGTTATTCTTTCTGTTCTTAAGTTATTCTTTCTGTTTTTAAGTTATTTTTTCTGCTCTCAAGTTATTCTTTCTGTTTTTAAATTATTCTTTCTGCTCTTAAGTTATTCTTTCCATTCTTAAGTTATTATTTTTGTTCGTAATTTATTCTTTACGTTTTTAAGTTATTCTTCCTTTTCTTCTTAAGTTACTTTTCCAGTCAAAATCAAATCCATCAGACTAAAATTTCGTAGTGTTGCTGTTTTTATATTGCTTTGGAAATCGGAGCGTTCTTTTCATTAAATCTTTTTTTCCAAGGAACAAACGCCATTGCTTTTTAACTTCTGAGTTTTGAACAACGTAAAATAGAAAAATAAAAAAACCTTGCAACGAATTAAAAATACAAAATAGCCATTGAAATACATCTCGAAGATAATCAACTGCTAAAACTGCAAATATCCATGTTGTTCCAAGTAATAAAGAACACCCCAATGCAATACGAACATTTTTTTTAGTCTTTATTTTATTCACTACTTTAGAATTACTATCAACACCTCTTAGAACAACAACAAGAATAACAACATTCCATAACATTACCATGGTTACTGGGAGAAGTACTCCACAATAAAACGAAATACCCCGAACAACGCATCTAAAAAAAAAAAAAGACTTGAAATTTCTAAATTTTTCTGTCAAAAAGTTAAACAGTTAATACTTACATTTTTGGATCACGATCAGTTTCAGGGCCTAAGTTGCTAGGTTTAATTGTAGATGTTGCTACTGTAAATATCATTGGTAGACCTAAAAAAAAAATGTTCAAACTCTTGCACGGAAAAGTAGTAAGAAAGAAGTACTTAACAAAAATAATAAGTAGTTTAAGTATAACTAACAATAAAATACTAACCCCAACCAAAAGCGTAAGACTTTAACATAAATACACGAGATCTGTATGCACCACGAAACACGTTCACAAACATTTGGTACATATTTATTCCTTCGACAACCATCCAGGAAAATGTGGATAGAACAAAAAATTGTAAAAGTGATGCAACTGTCTGACATAATATTCGTGGTTGGGTGTGTTCAACCAAGGCAAGAAAAAGAATAAGAGTTATCATCAAACTGAAACACAGATTGAGAAGGATTTTAGATGAAACATTCGCTCGTAATTTGCTAAAAATAATTTTGTAACAAAAATTAAAATATTAAATTTAAGCAATTATAGCTATAATTTTATTAAGCAATTAATAATTTAATCAAATGGTTCAGTGCCGTTAGAGCAAAAAACCGTTAGAAAAAAACGTTAAAAGTTTTGAGTTAAACTTAAATTAATTACTCTTAACCCATACTATTTGCCTTTACACTGCGTAATGAAAAAAAGTAGTTTCCATCAGCATTAAAATAACTAATTTTTTACAACGAAGGGAAAACGGGGCAAGTTGGTAAATTGAGCAAAATGGTTTTCATACAGCTTAACAAAAAAAATTTTAAAATGGGCGAAAACGAATTTGTATTTATAGCTTATATTTTTAAACACTATAAAGTTTTTTTTTTTTTTAATTGTTACCGTGATTTTATATTCATCTATTGAACTAAAAACCCCAATCTTAAAAATCATATTTTGTAAAGAAAATCGCTTTTAGATTTTTAGAGAAGACTGAAAAAGTTAAAAACTTTTAGACTGACTGCTTATACCATAACCCTCAGTCAACGTATTTGCATTTCGCTACGTCTATAAATAACGGTTAGTTGATGTATGTTCATTTCGCTTTGCCTATCCCTAACAATCTCAATGTATAACACTTAAAATTTTTTTGAAGTAGTACATTAATAATGAAAAATTAATAATAAAGTATTTATTTAAACGTTTTTATAGAAATGATAAAAAACCTGATTGCGTATAATGAATAATTCAGAAAAAGTTTGCTTTTTTTTGCTTTAACGTCCCGCTATCAACAAAATTCGCAAAAATTAAAAAACATTTTTTGAAACGCTTTTTTTCTCTTAATTACTTAAAAGGAAACATTTGGAGCGTCAAAAAAAAAAAAACATACTTTGAACCCAGTTAATCAGTACAAGTACGTCTCAGCTAAGAATTATCTGGGTCTGGGATTGAGTTACAGCAGGGAATTAATCTGGGTGGAAAATGAGACCCATATGGTGGTAAAATATTGCCACAAAGTAAATCTAGGTTTTAGTTGGGATCGGCCTCATCTCACCGAGCGGGCTGCAGCTAGGATTTGAAATAGTAAGAAGGTGGGAAACAAATAATATATTGGTAGCTTGTATTTTTCTGATTAAGAGCAAAGTTAACTGGTACAACTGGGTTTCAGCTGAAAAACCCTGGAAAATACTTTTACCATCTGAGTTGACATAGGTACACATGTAACTCTGTCAGTGGGACCCTACAGCTACCTACGAAAATTCGTAGATGGCTGCAGAATGAACGTTCATATCTGTCATGTATGAAAAAATTTAGCATAACTGTAATGTATGAAAAAATATAGCTTATTTAAAATTCAACAGTTGTTTTTATGTAAGACATGGTAATATATATATATATATATATATATATATATATATATATATATATATATATATATATATATGTATATATATAATATATATACATATATACATACATATATGTGTGTGTATATATATATATATATATATATATATATATATATATATATATATATATATATATATATATATATATATATATATATATACATATATATATATACATTTTGCAATTTTATTACAACTATATATTTTATTACACCAAGACAGAGTTAGAGAAAAAGTTTTCAAATTTAAAACATATTTTAAACTTGTATTATATTGATAAACAACTGCTCTTTTGAATGAGGATCTTTTAAATCAAAAAAGCTTTACCATCAGCAACATCATCATCACCACCAACATCATAATCATGATCATCATAACTATGGTTATGATGATCATGATTATGATCATCATAACCATAGTTATGATGGTCATAAAAATCATCATCATTATGATCATCACAAAAAAATGTAATTACCGAAATAAAGAGTAACTCAGAATTGTAACAAATAATCCAGCAATGGAGATTCCACACCCAATCCACGTCATAATACGAAGAGTTAAAGGATTGTTTCCTAATTGATCAACATCTAATACTAGTGCGAAATTTGTTAGATGATTACATTGACAAAAAACTTCTTTTGAAGAATTGTTGGTCGTATTGCATCCTTCAGAAGACCAAACATTTTCTGTTTAAAAAAAAAATCTTTAAACATAGCATGAATTATTAAAATGATCAATTATTATTGATTATTAATACTAGTTACTAAGTTCACAACTATGCATATTTCAACGAAAATATTCTGTATCAGAATTTTTTTAAAACTAAAAAAACCTGGATTATGGGGGATGGCAAAAGGCACCTTCTCGCCATTCACCTCTAAGCCATCACTAATTATGTTGATTCACATTTTCAAATGGTTTCAAACTTTATTAAAATCAAAATAACTTTTATAAAAAAAATAAACAAACTTCAAAATGAATATAAAATTGCATAATATATTTTCAAAGTATTGTGAGCTATTCATACCCATCATCATAATTTTTTGTTGATTAATGTACAAAAAATAATTTTCTATACTTGATGTACAAAAAAAACAAAACATAATTAAAAGTTTTTATACACAATTTACGCAAATTTATGCATCAAAACTTCTGGAAAAAACCTGGCATGTTTACGCAATTTGTACATAACAATGTGTTATTTCGATTCTGTCCTTCTATATCCGTTTCAAAGAATTGAAAATACATTTTTTACTTTTGTTTATTTATTATATGACATTTTAAAATAATACAATGTTCACCTAGAAAAAAAAGTGTTTACCTGAGAAGGTAAACACTTTTCTTTCTTCTTTTAATTTTTTTTACAACTCTCTCTTAATCTTTTAATTCTGAAACAACAATCTTGACAAACAAGAAGATTGTGTTACTCTTTTGGAGTTTTTTTGGAGATAACAAACGGAGTTTATTGGTACATTTATTAAGAAAAAAAAAGTAAACTAACAAGTAAAACTATATATTGATATTAACATGATTGCATTTGCATTGTGTTATGTAATACAAAAAAAAAATTGTAACCAATAAAAATATGTTATGATTATATCTTATAACCTTTATTATTTTATGCAACAATTTTAAACAATTTAAATAACTAAAGCAAGTTAGATAAACAACTACACAACTCAACTATGGTGAAATTAGTTAATTTATTTTATTTTGTTTGGACCACTAAAAAATACAATGAACTACATACAATAAATTACATGCTATCATTATACTAAAACCCAACATGCAATGACCAATATACTATCAATACATACTAGAGTCTATAGTATACCATATAATCTATGTACCAATATATGCAAGGTTCAACTTTCTAAATCAAACAACCAATAAGTTCAAAATTCAACAGCAGAATCTTAAACCTATTATTATAACCCACAACATTATAAACAATATCATAAACAATACACAATACATACACTAAAACTTTGTAAAGAAAATACATACCCTAAGAATTTCAGGTTTTTTTTTGTAAAATAGCATACACTATATATTATTATTTGATAGCATATTACTATTTAACTTATAATATGTAAGTTATTGTGTGTATGTTAACAGACAATAACTTACATATTATAAATTAAATAGTAACCTAATACTGTTTTTTAACATAACCAACCTAACATGGTTCAATGTTTTGAAGAAATAACTAAAAAAAAAATTATTATTAAAACCTTAACTAAACAGGTAATATAAAAATGTACCTGGTATCTTGTAAAAATGACACGCTCTTTTGCCTCTAATGTTTGTTCCACGTAAGAACATCATTGGTATTGGGTAACTTGAATTTTCTACAGTTAAGCCATTAATGGCTGCAGAAAGAACAACACTGTCAATCGTTGTTGAATTTTCAAAGAAACTTTTTTCAACAAACACATAGGAATAAACTTGTGTTTCATTTCTTCCATGAAATAGTTGGGCGGGAAGAATAATGTAGGCATTGATATTTTGTGATACATTTCTTACATCATTTTTTGATATACTAAGACTTATATTGCTTCCATTTAGCATTGAATAAATGAATATTGAATTGTAGTTTGTTTCAATAGTATACGATGCCAATGCTAAATTTTTTCCTGATATTGTTATATTTTCTGTCTGCTGCTTTGCCAAAGCATCCAAGTAGGTTATAAAATTCAAAAACAAATTTAAATTCTTATTTGCAGTAATTAAATCAATACTTGTGCTTAATAATGTATCAACAGTTGTCAAAACATCATTGATGACCTGGAAAACAATTTTTTTTTGATTAACTTAGTAGTACACTAATAATTTTATTGTAAAATTTTTTTTATTTTTATATTTTAAGTACCCCAAGAAGTTCTTACGGTCTTATCACAGAGCACTGAGGATGAACATTTGAAAGGAAGTTTACGTCTTTTCCTTATAAATGTTATTAAACTTGCCTGAGTGTAATTAAACCACAGATCTCTAGCTACTGATGTAAGCATGCTAACCATTGCTCTACAGCTGCTCTTTATTTAAATAAATTTGATATTTATAAAAAATTATACTTACTGATTCTGAAGAAGAGTTTGCATTAACAACTTTGGAAATAATATTGGAAATCAATTCTAAATTTTTTGCAGTAAGGTTTCCTCTTTGTACAATCTGACTTAAATTAAAAGCAGCACTTTCAACATTTGATTTTGTAACAATGATCTAATTTACAAATGAAAAAAAATAAATGAATGTATTCAATCATTTATTTAAAACACAAATTAAAACTATTACAATGTAAAAATGTAAAATTTTATATATATTGTAAAACACATTATATACTTCAAACAAGAAAAAAGCAAAATAAAAAAAATAACAAAGTAGCAACACATCAATAGCAAAAAATTTAAATCTAAAACCAAACAATATTTACTGTGAGTGATACCTAATAAATTGATTTTTATTTGCATAACAAAATAAAACTGTTAAAAGTATTCAAAAACTATATCTTAAGTTGAAACTTTTTTTTTTAAGTTTAAATATTTTATAGTATACTATTGCGTGTTTAATAGAAGGTGTTGGAAGTTTGATGGGGGGGGGGGGGGGGGGGAATTAAATGGGAATAAAAAGAGGGGGATAGAAATTTTAGTCCAGTCCAGCTGGGGTAGAAAGGAGTTGTCTTAATAAAAGGCTGGGAGTTTTTTTACAGAACACAAATAACAATAATTCTAGTGTGGCTTGCAGTCAAATATTCATACTATATAATGGTTAGAAATAAACAAACCTAATTTTTGACAAATCAAGATTTAGAAGACTTTTTAAAAGACAAATACTTTTATAGCCTGACTACAATGAAAGTTTTAATTCTTTTTAATTAACTGTTTTTTTTTTAGTGTTGAGACATTACTTTTGGGGTGGGTTGAAATAATTTCATAAACTTGAATTAAACACTTAAGGGTAGGGTTTATTTACTTTACTTTTGACAAGCTTTACTTTTGATATATTTTTAAATGGTTTACTTCATTTACTTTAGATTGTTTTAAAAATCAAAAATAAGGAAAAAACCATTTAAAAAACATATGGGCATAATAATATAATCCGCATTAGTAACAATCGTAACATTTGAAATTTTTTTAGCTATTATAAATGAACCCAAAATTGAAATGAATTAAACTTTCCAGAAATGTGAAATATTATCATATAGTTTAGTATGCAAAAGAATTGACATCATTAAAGTCTTGAATTTTTTTTAAAAATTAATTAAATGTAGCGTGACGGTCATAACATATACTTTTTACCACTTCTGAACAAGCATCTTTGTCAGGATTAATGCAGCAAATGATATGGTAAAAAAAAATCATTTGCTGTGTGTATTTAGCACATATTTATATTATTATATGCTGATTTTTATAGTTTTTGCTTGAAGTTTTACAAGCATTTTTATGTTTTAGTTGTTATGACAGTTGTAACTGTGACAATTGTAACAAAGAATCCAATATTAAAAAACAATCAAAACAATGTAATCAACAAAAAAATGTTAGAAAAATAACGATAAGTGATTATTAAAAACCATGTAAATTATGTTAAATAAATGCACTATAACATTATTAAAATTCTCAGTTATGGTTTTACAATATGATTTTTAATACTTCACAGTAGGACTGTAAATCAACGTCAAAACATGTTTATACAACCCTTACAAATTTAAAACTATGCTACGTATGATAAAAGGATTTTTTTTTTAACAAATTTTTTGTTTAAAAATATTTTTAAATAGCTAAAAAAAAAGAGTTAAGGAATTTAATGTTTGTGTAATTTTTTTTTATCCCTAATTTTAATCCCCCATCTAAGAATTTTTATCCCCCGTCTTGCAGAATTTTAACTGCTAAAAGTGAAGTAAATAAATTCTATATGTAATATATAAAATATTTGGTTTAGAAAAAGGTTTTAACATGGCAACACCAAAAGTTTTAATATGGCCGTATCAAATGATAGCATAGCCCTACAAGATAATGGCATAGTTCAACAATATGATAGCATAACTCTACTTAAAATGTGCTCAGCTTAAATTTAAGTGTTTTGTATTACAAAAAAATATGGCATTTGGCTGGAAAAGAAAGAATATATCAACATTTCAATAACTTTCAGAAAAAAATGTTCTGAAAGTTTTTGAAATGCAGATCAAATCAGATCGAATAATAATATTTTCTCATATTATTTAATAACACAATTTTCAATACTGGAAGAGAATGGAGAAATAAGCTGTTGTAATAATTCAAAAGAAATTTCAAGAAAAAGCCATTTCTATAACTTAGGATGTAAACACAATGTGTTGGATTTAATTATTTGTACAAATACAATATCTTCTAATATATCAATTAACTTTGTGAAGTCAGTGACAACTATAAAATCTAAAGAGTCTTACCAAAATATAAAAGTCAAAAGTTAAAATGTCAACATTATGCTGGTTAAGAAACATATAGTGTAATATAATGTAAAGTAGCATATAATGTATTGGATCGAGTAATCTTGCTTTCATTACCCTAAAATTACCTTAAAAACAAAACCTATTATAAAAGATGTAATATTGATATTTAAAGCAATTTAAGCCTTAATTAATTTTGTACTACTGCCAGACAAATAAACAACAAATACCCTGAAAAAATAATTATAAAAAATTAATGATTCCAAAAAATATTTTCAATTGAAATAAAAGCATAATTATCAAGAGAAGTTCTAATAATTACAAAAATTATAATATATACAAAAATTATAAAATTACAAAATTACAATTCAAAAAACTTGTGTCAAAAAAACAATCAAAATCAAGAAAAACGTACAAAACAAATAAAACATAAACGGACTTAAAAATTACTTCAGATTTCATCATAATACTTAAACTGGGGGGTTTAGGTAAAATAATCATAAGTACTTGATTACTTATTTATTTTTATCAGTTATTTCATTATAAATTATTATTATATACTTATTGTTAATCATCATACTGTTAATGTTTAGAAGTATTTGTAAATTACACATAAGTATAACTTTATCTTTATATTAAAAAAATATGGCAAAGCTTTAAAAGTAGTTTATTTTAGGAAAATTACATTCTTGGTATATCTGCAATATAGTAGAGTAAACATAAAAAAAGGAATTTGAGAATGAAAAAAAAAAAGTAAGCAGAGTGGTGAACTAAACGTAAATATAAAGAGCCTAAAAAGTGTTTTTAAATAAAATAAAATTAAAGTTATCAATCAAGATGCTGTAAACAGAACAATGTTGGGTGATGATATGAGCAAGATAGTTCAATAAGCAACAGTATTTAATATAATTCAATAAGCAACAGTATTTAATAAGGTTCAACAAGCAACAGTACTTAATAAGGTTTATTATGCAGCAGTATTTATTAAGGTTCAATAAGCAACAATATTTTGTAAGATTCCATATGCACTAGTATAAAAAATATAGCAAAACTTTAAAAGTAGTTTATTTTAGGAAATTTACATTCTTGGTATATCTGCAATAAATATAGTAGAGTAAACATAAAAAACATACTTTTTTTATTTATTTGAGAATAAATAAAAAAAGTAAGCAGAGTGGTGAATTAAACGTAAATATAAAGAGCCTAAAAAGTTCTTTTAAATAAAATAAAATTAAAGCTATCAATCAAGATGCTGTAAACAGAACAATGTTGGGTGATGATATGAGCAAGATAGTTCAATATGCAAAAGTATTTAACAAGGTTCAACAAGCAACAATAATTAATAAGGTTCCATATGCAATAGTGTTTAATAAGGTTTAATATGCAACAGTATTTATTAAGATTCAACAAGCAACAGTATTTAATAAGGTTCAATAAGCAACAGTACTTTATAAGGTTCACTATGCAACAGTGTTTTAAAACCAATATATAATAAAAAAAAGTAATAATTTTCAAAAATTTAACTTACACTATCCAAATTTATCAGTTCCAGATAATAAGAGTCTAAAATAAAGAAATTATCAACTTAATATAAAAATAATTAGAGATACAGGTGGTATTATGACAAATAAGTATAATATGAGCCTCTCTTCAATATCTCCTAACACAGCAAGTTGATATTAAAAGTCAACATAAAAATTATCACTATGATTGAAACTTGGATGATTTTTTTGAGTTTTATCAAAAACTACTTAATCAACGGTAACAATTTTTTTTATAACAATGTTGTTTTTGTAATGTCGAGTAAAGAGCCTGTCAAGTAAAGAGAATGTTGGAATTGTTATAAAACATTATCGAGAAAACAAAACTGTAAAAAAAAAAATCAGGAAATAGTGAAAACCAAGATTTATTTCCAAAAGAAAGACAAAACCAACAGTTGCCTCTATTCAACAGTTGCCTCTATTCAACAGTTGCCTCTATTCAACAGTTGCCTCTATTCAAACTCAATCACAACAAGATTTTACTGCAAAGTTTAAATGCAGTAGATCTTTTGTTCAAAGAATATTTAAAAAAGAAAACTTGAAAGCATATTAAAAAAAAAAAACACAAAAAAAAGGTTAATTGACGGAGAAAGCAAGGCAATTGAACAAGCTAAAAATTTGTTTTAATTAATCACGAAATTTTTTTTATGTATTTTAGAAAACGATGAAACTTACTGTAAAAAAAATCACTTCATGCTTCCAAGTAATCAATACTATTATCACTTGAAACGTTATAAAGCTTTTGACAAATTTAAGTGCATAAAAATTTCTGAGATTTATGGATTAATGCTACAAAAAAAGTGACGCAAGCTAAATGTGTAGATGATGGCGGAAGATGATGGTGGGTACTTTGTGGAAATGATGGCGGGTACTTTACAAAAAAAATAAATTACTTGCACGTCTGAAAAGTTAAGGCTTAATTTTTTTTTTTTAAATAAAAACTAATTATGTATGCATCATTATAAAAAAAATCATGACAATTGATTAAGTTGTTTTTGAAAAAACTAAATTTAGAATTGTCCAAATTTTAACTGTTGATATTAACAGAGAAACAATTATAAAAGAAATATCAACTTACTTATAAACAAATCAATGCTTTGTATAGTTATGAACAAATTAGTGCTTTGTATTTCATTGTGAAATAAAAGTAAATTGTAATCATTTAACTCTTATTTGATTGTTGTATGCAATAAGTTAAGTTATAAATCAAAAATTTCAAATTACAATGATTGTAAAATGAGTCTCCATTATTGATTAGTATATTGTTTGTATTGTTTTATTGGAGAAAAAAAACCCTGTTGAAAATGATGTGCTTCGCCTGTTTTGAGATGGTCCCTTTTTGTCTTTTTGATATAAACAAATAAAACTTTGGATCCATTTGCTTGGTAATCAACTCAAAAGAAACAAATTAATAAAAGAAAAACTCATTAAAAAGTCATTAAAAAAATTTATTTTTATGTAATAAAGTTTAAGATAATATATAGGTGCAAACCTTGAAAACTACTGTTTTTTTTTAATGCCTAAATTTAACTAAGTACAATTAATTTTTTTTTTTCAGTGAACAATGAACACTGATGATCTGAAATCAAGTTTGCAATTGTTGTTTTAATCTGACAATATATTAATTAAAGTAATTTTTAAATTCCTTGAATTGCTTAGGACTAATAAGAGTAAATTCTTTGAATTGCTTAGGACCAATAAGAGTAAATAGGAGAAGAGTTGGATTTAATGCTGTAGTTTTTTGTAAGACTATGCTTTGAATTTTTTTTGTTCTTCATTTGATACTGCTTTGCAAAGAAAATGATTCAGTTGTAGCTACAAAAAAAACTTTTTCTTGATATAAATTTTCACATTAAGTTAAGATTTCTTAATCTTCTTATTTTTAATTTTCAACTAAATTATTTCATTTTAAACAAATATTTCTTGTCTTTAAAGCAAATTTTAATCCATTAAATTTTGGATCATACAAAATTCTTATTGTAAGATTAATTTAAAAATTAGCTTTTTTTGAAACTAACATAAAATCAGCTATTTTGTCTTCAATTATCGGTTTTGATGGCTATTATACATTGATTTGCAAAGACTTCAATAGCCACATGATTGGCCAGGCACATATGTGCCTGGCCATTCATTGTGCTATTTAATAAAAAACAGTCATAAGATAACAGTCTTAAAACTCTTTTTTGTCATATAGGTAAATTGATACACATGCATATTATACATATGTATAAATTTACCTATATGTCAAAAAATCAAGTTTGAATCTTATGACTGTTTTATGTGAATTTCATTTAGGATTGCTTTACTTAATCATCCTTCTTTTTTATTTATTTATTAATCTCTTTTTTTCCAAGAATAAAAACTCAATCTTGTGAGCCATCATTCACATTGTTATACTGTAATCCTTCGTTTTCAAACAACTTTTATTCACCTAGTTTTTTTCCTTAAACACTGATGCTTTAGAATTCTCTCTCATCATGATTTCTTAAATAAGCCAGAATAAACAAACGTAAAGTGTACCAGGCTAAAATTGTGGCCTAACTCACCTACTTTTAAATAAAACAATAAAAAGTCTAAAATTATATACTAACCTTTGCAACCAATACTTCCAGGTTTACTCAGACCATCACCAGCAAGCCCTGGACCACAAATACATTTTTCATAACCATCCACAATCGAACATTTAGCATTGCTTGAACATAATCCTTCTGTAATACATTTATCTATACAAAAATATTATTAATATTTCAAAAGGGAAAAAAAACACTTGCCACAAATACAATTTTTACAATAATAACTTTCTTTCTCTCTCAATTCTGTAACTCTAAAGAATAAATTTTGACTAACTTTCTCAATTGACAGAGAAAAAGTTTGAGCATTTTTTAATCAACAACAAACCAAACTATAAAATCAGCTCAGTTAAACAAATTTTCTGTTTTTTTTTTGTCTTAAAAAGGCTAAAAAATTAGAACAGAACATACTAACAGAACAGAAAAAAACCCTTTTACAAAACATAGCAGTGGCTCAAATTAAAACAACAACAACAAAAAAAAATGAAAATAAAACAATATTATTGTTGCTTTTAAGACAATCACTTAATTTTAAAACAAGATGACATTGCAAAACTAATTATTAATTTATGTCCAATTAAACCATGCCAGTTATGTGTATGTTTACAAGAAATAAGTATGAGTAAAAAATATTTTCTTGAAAAATTGTGGTAACAAAAAATATTAAATATCAAATCATGACATGCTAACAAATAAACACTTAAATAGATCAAAACCTGTATAAAACCTGTATAACCTTTATAAAAAATAATACTGAGTAAATATTGGTCAAATGTGCTAAATTAAGATTAAGTTTTATTTTAACAGTTTTCTTCATAAATTTAATATATCATTATAATTTGTATAAATGATTAATTAAGCATTATTAATTATTTAAAAAAAATCTAAAGTAAAACTTTATCAAATATCTTAAACATTAATTTTTTGTAGTTTATATTTATTTCACATTTTGCAATTTTACAATGACAACATTGATTGAAGCTGTAAATGGAAAATGTATATTGATATTTTGCAAGCAACATTATGCAGTTTAATAAATCCAACCGAATAAAAAGTTTAACAAATAAATTTTTACAATCCATACCATGCACAATGATAACAAAAGTCACAGGTTCAAAAAGTTATAGAGTCAAGGTATAAATAACTTTTAACCAAACTGTGCAATAATAAATTACTAATAACATGTTTATATTATTGAAAAAATCATTTACAATGCATAACATTAAAATTTGCTCAAAATTGTGCACTTTTAAGACCATGCTTCAAAATTGCTATTTAAGAAGAAAAATCTTAAAATTTTTTAATACTTTTAACTGGCTAATCTAACTTTTAAATACAAAAACATACTGTGAACATTGATGGGGTAAGAAAAATACATTTTTATATATTTTAAGAAAACTTAAAAAAAAATTACTAACCTCCACAAATAAAGCCTGCTCTGCATATACAAATAGGCAAACTATTATTAACGACACAATCTGCATATGAGTTGCATTGGGCTACTGCACATGGATCTGCATATATAATTATAAAAATTAGTAGAAAATCAATTGCCATATTTTTTTTATTTTTTACCACATAAAACCATGTTTTTAAAACATGGTATGAGTAACTTTGCTTTTTATGTGCCTCTTTAAACATTATAAATTTTTTTTTTTTTTTTGTGTGAACTTTATTAGTACTTCTTAGTTAATACTTAATATCCTTTAAAAGTAAGTTGAGATATAAAAAGAAAATATATATACATACATATAAAAATATATATATATATATATATATTTGTTTATATATATATATATATATATATATATATATATATATATATATATATATATATATATATATATATATATATATATTTGTTTATATATATATATATATATATATACATATATATATATATATTTTTTTTGTTTATATATATATATATATATATATATATATATATATATATATAATATATATATATATATATATATATATATATATATATATACATACATATAATAATATATATATATATATATATATTTGTTTATATATATATATATATATATATATATATATATATATATATATATATATATATATATATATATATATATATATATATTTGTTTATATATATATATATATATATATACATATATATATATATATTTTTTTTGTTTATATATATATATATATATATATATATATATATATATATATATATATATATATATATATATATATATATATATATATATATATATATATATGTTTTATATATATATATGTGTGTTTTATATACTTACATACACATCTAAGGTGGCATTTTTTGCTGATGATACTACCATTTATTCTTGTCTTGAAAAGAAGCCAATACTCTCTGATTGCTTGGAGGGGGCGCTTGAACTTAAAAAAGAATGAGTTATCTTCTTTTCATCTCCTAGGATTAACTCTTACTTCTGACCTTTCTTCAAGTCCATTGCAAAATTAGCATCTGCTAAGGTTGCATCTCTTTATTGAGCTAAATACTTTCTCACTCTGGATTCTATTTTCTATCTCAAATCTTTCCTTTTAATGATGGGGCTCATCTTTTAATGATGCTCTTTCTCTTTTAGACAAGGTGCAAAAATATATTGTAAACATAGTTGGACCTACTATTGCAGTCAACCTCCAATCATTATCACATGGTTGTAATATTGCTTCTTTTTAGAAGAGCAAGCGTCTCTTATTTCATCTACTAAAATTTATTCTTATTTTACTCACCATTTACTAACAATAGCTTTTTGAAATTCGCTACCCTCATCTTGTTTTCTTGATTCATATAACTTGCAATATTTTAAGTCATTTGTTAATTTTGCTCTAAAAATTTTATCTTTTCTCTTCCAGTAACATCCAACAATAATAGTGGTTGCTTGCAGCCTTGTTGGAAGTGTATGTATGTATGTATGTATGTATGAATAAATGTATATATATTTTATCCATTTATTTAACCCAAAATTGAAAATTACAATTTTTTTTATAGTTTCACAAAACTAGGTTAGGTGTCACTCAAATAGTTAAAAACTAATCTTTAAAGTGACACCTTTATAGGTGTCACAATAACAGCAATATTAATACATAAAAGCAAGCGTAAACTAAATTAATTAAAAAAAAAAAAGATTAGTTATAATAAATTAAATAAAAAGACAAAAAGTTATGAAAAATCTCAATTTATAACAACCACGAACAACAATAAATTTTTCAAAAATTTTGCTTTGGAGTTGGAGTCGAAGTTGTGGTACTTAACTACGAACTCCAAGCCAGCAAGTATTTTCAGAGTCAAAACTACCTCTTGCATTTACTTACAAAAGATAATCAAGATGATGATAACGATCATGATCACCCCTTGAAAAAAAATGTTTGTGTTTGTCATTTGAAACAATGTAAATACTAGAAACAGTGTAAATATTAAATAGGAAGGAGAAGTAATATACATGCAGTCTAAATCATATTGTGTCAGCGGTATACAAAAACTCATTTATGCTATCTTTGTTTTGATATTAAAAATGTGAACACTATCAAAACATATCAACAAATGCATATCTGTATATCATATTATACAGTAAAAGATATATTGGCAAAATGGCATGTAAAAGACTTTTTACATGCCATTTTGCCAATAAATCTTTTACTTGAGCTGAAATTTTTTTTGTTTTTTTGTTTGTTAAAACATTGTTCTGAAAAATAAAAATAAAGTGAATATTTTTTAAAAAAGTTACTTGAAACTGTTTCTATTATGATAAATAGCTCTATTATGATAAATAATTCTACAATGATAAAATTACTATTATTAAAAGAATTTAAAGAAACAAAAAACATATATATATATATATATATATATATATATATATATATATATATATATATATATATATATATATATATATATATATATATGTTACACATTGCTTGTTAATTATTTCAATAATTATTGAATAACTATTAAAAATTGAGCCTTAATATGACTAAAATGTTCAAATAGAACACAAATGTAATATAAGAGATTACATATAATGTACTAACCTTTACAACCAAATAAGCCGTCACCAATAAACCCCTTGTTACAAATACAGGTTTCATGGCCTTCCACAACTGAACACTTAGAGTTATTTAAACACAAATTTGGTGTAATACATTTATCTATAAAAAAAAATTAATTTTTTATATTTACATCTTGGAAAATAAAAAACTAACTACTTTTTTCTGTTACAGATGTCCTTTATAGTTTTATAAAGTTGTAGATGTTCTCTATATTCAAATACCCCAACATGATATGGTACCATACCCCAACATGTAGTACCATACCCCAACATGGTATGGTACTCCCATACCCCAACATTTTAAACAAGAGAACAAAGATAGTCTTAATTTTGCTTTTTAAATAATTTTTAAAATCAATCAAAAGTTTTATTCTGTTTTTCTTTCTTTTAGATAAAAAAAAAAGAGTTTTTAATGTAAACTTTTCAGGTAAACTACACAGAGCCGTGGCTAGACTCCCCCATACCCCTAATTAAGGGGGGCAGCATTTTTAGGGGCCCTTTTCAAAAGTTAAAAAAAAAAATTTTGTATTTTTTATAATAAAAATATTTAAATATATATAGTTACTGTTACTATTAATAAAAAAACTTGGCCTTTTAATCACGATATTATCTAAATTATGCAATAACATTTAATGCAAAAAAAAAAAGAATTAACACTCCCGAGGTCCGCAAGGTCCCTTAAATCGCAAGCTTTATAAATTTGTTTTTTGCAATTTTGAATTGATTTTTTTATTATGATTATGCGTTGTTAGTTTTTTTATATCATAAAAAAAAAGAAAACAATTCAAAGAAAGAAGGTTTGCCAAAATTTATATTTATCTTTCGTTAGTTTTTCACGATATAAATATTGGTATATTAGTAGGAAAAAAGTGAAAAGTGGTGCCACTAATAAAAGAGAAAAAGCTGCTGCCCTGGAGGAAATCACAAAATACCCAAAACTAACACATTTTTTGAAAGCAGCGATTTAGCCTGGAAGTGTTTCGAAACCAACAGAAACTATAAATATTTCTGATTGCCATTATTTAAATACTAAAGTAAGGTAAGTTGATGTGTGAGCCTACAGTGCTTTGAACACAGAATGACTTAAGGAAAAGGTTAACTCATATTTCTTTAATTTATTGCTTTGTTACTTTTTTTTCATGTATACAACATGTTTATATATAGAATATAAAATCTATAGAACTATAAAGTGGTTTTGTTTTGCATTTTAAATAACAAAAATTAAAAAATAAAGCAAGCCGATGATTTGAACTGTCGAGAGAGGTTGCAGAAGACTGAAAAAGTTTACTTGATTTGTTGATTTGAAATAAAACATCATACCAAATAATGATTGATAATAAGAATGGACATGTTCTAATATATTCTGTGAGCGATAGTACTTCTGTGGCTCAAATTGCTCAAATAGTGCTCCTTGGTTTCTTTGTCCTGAACTCTTAGCATAAGCTCATTATAAATGGTATCGTACTTAGCCAGTAATTCAAACACCCCAAGAAAGTTTCCATTGCTCTTTGAACTAATGGCTGCATCTGAACCACGGAATTCAAGATTTCTTGCAGAAAGAAATAAGGTAATGTCCAGTATCCTTTCTAACACTGCACTGCATAGCAACTTTTGTTGTTGCTCGTCTATGAGAGCTTGATTTGCAATGCCAGCAAATCACACTTGGCAACTTGAATATCAGTATAAAGCAGATTTTTTTTGCCATTAATTGATATGTCAATTGCATCAGTAAAAGAGTGTTTTGATCGGATCAGTATTGTCACAAAGCTTAATGACTTTCTTTACCAATCTGAGAGTCTTATCAAATACTGTAATGAAAGTTCTTTGTCTACATATTGCAACAGTTTGCAAATGAAACTTGGTGATAAAGATTTTGAGGATTTAGAAATGAAGTTAAAACGATTTGTCATAGTTAACAAGGAGGAAAAAATGCCTTAAAGAAGAGCTGCAAGAAACTTATCCAAATCTATTTTTTGTGTTACAAATCATTCTTACTTTACAAGTTAGTGTTGCAAGTGCAGAACCTAGCTTTAGCAAGTTAAAACTAAATAAAACTTTTCATAGGTTAGTATAAATAATCTTGCTTCATTATACATAAACACATGTAGCTATATTACTCTGTATCTTTAAATAGGTCAACAACAGTGGATCCATTCGGAACTCTGTCTTGACGGATTTTTCTCGGTTTTTTCGGAGTTTCGGAGTTCGAGACAAATCGAGAAACTTCGACGAAACTTCGACGAAGTTTTTAGAAAATACCAATTTTTTATTCGTAAAATAATTGAATTCTTATTTTATTTCTACGTGGTTTTTACAATTGTAAATTGTAATTTTAAAAATTGTTTCAAATGTAAGTGTTCTCTTCGTTTAATAACAACACTAATATACATCGCAAAGCAATTGGTAATGCACAGTGGGCCAGGTGATGATGGTGAAAAAAACCTCAAAAAAAGTTTGTTCTATTCAAAACCATATATTAAAACATGCTCATACTTTTCCATTGTACTATTTCAAAAACTCTTTTGTGTATATTAGTATCTTTTTAGTATTAGTATTTTTTTAAATCCACAAAAATCAATCGCGGTATAATAAAATGTAATGCATGATAAAAAGCAAGAATTTTTTAATTTTTAAGCAAAGATATAATAAACAGTAACTTTTAAAATATTATGCGAATGTGATATTAGTTTATATATTTTAACTACTCAATAGTTTACCTTTACAAAAAAAAAGTTTAGTCAAGATCATTATTTATAATATAAACAAAGACTGGTCGTAAAATAACGAGGTAAGTTTTTAACATATAAAACATATAAAACTTTCATTTTATACAAGTAGTGTCGTATTTTGTATGATCAAAATAATTTTGTCCACCATAAGTCTAAAATCCGGCCCACTGAGCATAGTGGCAAAATTGTGCAATAACATGTTATCAGTGAAAATAAATAATAATAATAATTAATGTTTAATTATACTTACCTATCAGAATAAATAACTTAATAACTTAAAATGTGATAACTTTTCACAATTAAAATAAAATTAAAAACAAATATGGGAGGTCATAATCAAATTGATAATTTTTCTTTCATAGAAAAAAATGGTTTCGGAAGCGTGGAAGTACTTTAATAAAGTTGTGGTAAATGATAAGAAGTATGGAGATTGCAAAAAATGTCATAAAAGAATTGCTTGTCCAGGATGCAGCACAAACGGCCTTATTGGACACGTCAAAAGTTGCGAGAAAATAGATTTGAAACCATTCAGTTCCAGACCAGTTTTGACTAAAATGTCATTAAACGATCTTCTTGCCAAGTTGACAGCTCTTGATGGGTATTCGATTAGGTCCATAACTCAATCTGAAACACTAAGAATGCTTTTTGAAAATTACGGGCATAGTATGCCTAAATCAGCGTCCGCAATTTCAGAAAAAATTAAGATGATTCATGCTGAAGCCAAATACTTAATGATCCCTGAATTGGCTGCATTGAAAGCAAAAGGAGAAAAATTTGGACTAACAGGTGACGAATGGTGTAGCAATAGAGGTAGAAGATACTACAATTTAAATGTTCATCACAACAGAACGTATTGTTTAGGAATGATGAGATTGCCATCTCCTAGTTCTGCTGAAACATTAAACATTTTGATAATGGAAAAATTAAAAGAATTTGGTATAGATAGTGAAGATATTGCAGGTAAAACTACGGATGGTTGTAGTTGGATGGTGAAATTGGGTACCATATTTAAGTTTCCACATCAGATCTGCCAGAATCATTCAATTCATTTGAGTGTTTGTGATTTGATATACGCTAAAAAAGATTGTCGCAAAATTGTGAACAAAGAAACTGAATCGATTATTGAAACAGAAACAGAAACTGATGGAGAGTCTGAAGGAGAGTTTCTTATTGAATATTCGGAGAATGAGATTGAGTATGAAGAAAATATCGAAAAAAATCTCCAGAAACTTCGAATACTAATTAAGTTTTTGAAATATTCATCGTTTCGATATGAAGTTCTTAAAAGAAAAATACACGAAATATACGGATCTTCGCATGACAAAGGACTGTTGTTCGACAACCGAACAAGATGGAACAGTGTTTTTAAGATGATTAAAAGATTTCTGGATTGCTTAGAAGCTGTAAAAAAAACACTCGAAGAGCTAAACTGCTTAAACATGTTAGCTGAAATTGACTTGGATTTCTTAAAATCGCTGTCTGACTTATTGGAAGTCGTTGCTGACGCTGCAGTTCGCTTGGAAAAACCAAATACAACAATTTTGGAGTGTGACATTATTATGGAAACGTTAGTAAGGAAATTGAAGGTTGCAGAAACTGACATCAGTTCTAATTTTGTAGAGACCTTAATCTCCAGATATGAAGATCGTAAAAACGTTATGTTGGTATCATTGAGTCGTTATTTGCACAATCCCGATTTTTTTAAAAATAAAAACCACACATTTTTTACGCTTCCAAAAAAGATATTCAAATTTATGCTTCAAAATTATTTGATCAACTATTTGCAACAAAAGAAAATAGTCTCCAATCAAAATCAGATGATCACGCTAAAAACAAACAAGAAGAACCATCACAATCGACATCTTTTTTCTCCGAAATTCAAGAAGTTCTAATTCAAAATCAATCAGCAGCTAAAAAACCAAAAAAAGTCAAGACCTTCACCGATCAGTTGAAAGAATATGAAGTAACTGGTGTGAAATCAGAAACAGTTTTAAAATTTGAACTAGCCATCCACAGAATTCAAGCAACTTCCTCGGAAGCATAAAGAGTTTTCTCCTCGTCTTCCAGATTTGTCATAAAGTTTTGTAGCTCGCTTTCTGATGAAATGATAGATGTTTTGATCTTTTTAAAATATTATTTAAAAAGATCTTCAGTATAAATACTTTTTTTTTCAAATTTTTTTTTAAATTTTTACTATAGGTGCCCCAACAAGTCTTTATTGCATAGCAACGCAGAAGGGCATTTAACTGAAAGTTCACGCCTTCTTCCTAACCGATGCCGGTTAGAAAGCCAATTATTAGATATAACTTGTTCGTTAAAAAATTGTGATAAAAAAAATATTTATGTACTAAGAAATATAAAAATATAAATTTTTTAAAATTTTATTATAAATTATAAATCGAAATATTTAAAATTAAAAAATAAAAATACAAGAACAATGTTTAATTATCAAATAGAGAGTTTAATTTTTTTATCAAATAGATAGTTTAATTTTTATAACAAAATATTATCGAAACTCCGATTTTTTCTCGACTCCGACGGAGTTTTTTCTCGATTTCTCTCGACTCCGTTTTTTCTCGATTTTGGATCCTTTGGTCAACAATGGTTGATGAACCTTTGTCTTCTTTAGCAACACTGTCGATTGAAATCAAGGTTGCAAAGAAATTAAGATATAAAGGGAATAATAAATGAGATTGAAGCATGAAAAAACGTCGAAACCCTTTTTTTGATATTTTTCGACGTACTTGTATTATATGCGTAATACATTAACAGCATTTAAAAAAACTCTTTACTAGTAAACTCTATATTAATTTAACAATTATAAAATATATTTAGTTGAATTTAAGCGTTAACTTAATTGTTTTTAGTCTTAAAAACGGTGATGTTAAAATATGTCAGGTACACTGCTTTTTGGGGTAATCTGTAAATTTTATCCATTTTTTTTTTAGAAAAAAAAAATAAAAAATTGGGGCCCAAATGGATAGTTTTTTTTTTTGAAGGAGGGGGGGGGCAGACCCACTTGCCACAACACTGAAACTACCTTTAGTTAAAAAATTTACATTAAGATGATATAGGAAATGGTATAAAAAATAGGATGTTCCCACACTTCTATAGAAAACCGATTTCACTTGATGGATAAACAAAAAGCAAGAAGCTAATATCTCCACTGATTTTTTGGGTCATCACTGCTCACCTCATGGGTATAAGCAACAATTTGTTTTTTAACATTATTATTTTTACTGAAAACAAAAAATATTAAATATAAATTAGTATAAGAAATAGTTAAACTCATGGGAACAAGCAGCACTTCATACAAGATCATGTAAAATAATTTAATGCGTATAGTGAAACTGCGAAGGGAGTCTCCATAACAAATTACATGAATAGAAGCAAATACTGGTCAACAAAATGCTTTAGTATAACAAATCAAGAGAAAATACCTAATTGGAAGTATTAGGACTTTTTATTGCATGACAGTACCAGTTCTCATACTGTCAAATGACAAAGACCATTCAAAAAAATGGCATAAAATCCTCTCACTATAGTCATTCAATAACAAAGTAGAGTTAAAAGCTTGGTTGCAAGATTTTTTTTTAGTCAAAACTGAATAATTTTAACAAAAAAGTATTTTAAAGTATAGATAAATATTGGCAATAATTTATTTATATAAATAATAGCATTACCTCAATGATTAATATAAAATATTTTTTATTAACATACAAATGAGTTTTTATGAAAAACATACATACATATAACAAATACCTGTTTTAAAAAACTATATAAAATGATAATTATTAGAATGGTCCAAGTAACATTTTCTGTGTTACATTTTTTTTATTAATATCAATTTGGGTCATAATTGCTCTTGTTTCTATACATCTTTAAGCCTTAAGGAGTCCTTAAGCCAAAAATGAGACAGATTCAGTAATAATATGACGCAATTAAATAATTTTAGTGGACACTAAAAATATTATGTAATTTTTCAATTTTTTTTGGCTTATCTGAAGTTATTTTTTGTTTGGTGGTTTCATTTGATAAGCGTGAGAGTTAGTACTAAGTAATGGTAGTTTTAGTTCATGTGAAATATAATAAATATAATAATTGTATATTATTTTATCATAAATTAAGCATAATAATCTGTAAAATGAGATTTTAAAAAGAAATATATTATTTGTATAGCAACCTTTTTTGCTTACTTACTTAATTTTAATTTGAGTCAACTTTTAGTTGCTTTTACTTCTTGACATGTTTGTATTCCTGCATGAGTCTCCATTATTTGTATCCCAGTGAGAAAGTCACTCTAGCTCCAGTTTTTGAGGTTTGGATAAGCATTTGGCCTAACAAGAATCTTGAAAAATTAAACAAGCAGAAAAACATTTAAAACAAAAAGAAAGGAATGCTGAAGATGCCAGGAAAAACCAAGAAGAGGTCGCTTTAACTTTACTGTCAGAACATTCTTTGAACTTTATAGTGCTTCCACAAGGCTATCTAAATCAGCTTTCTGACTCCAGACTTGAACCTCATACTTGACCACGTTAACATGAGTGATCTGTAAGCTACCTACGTTATTGCTGCAGCTGCTTAAGCTCTTGAAGATGATCTGGATAGCATTCCAGTTTCTCGCAGCACTATTCTTCATTCTAAAATGGATACACGCAAGCTCAAAAGAAACGCAATTTCGAGCACCTGAAACCATGCACCACGCCAAGTTGATGGCGAAGAGCTATCAAAATCCTTCTTTTCAAGAAACAAGTGACTCTCACTGCTCATGAAAGAAAAGCTTTGACCGACATCAGCCTGTTTGTTGCTCTAGTCAATGGAAAATTTTGGTATGTAGTTTGCTTCGCAAAAAGAGTCCCATATAATGAACTGAGACTGTTGAGACTTTTGAATGATTATACCTGCAACAATGTTGTTAGAGATGCAGCAATAACAGCCTTCAAAAAATATCTATGGTATTTTTCAGAACATTTAATTGGCTTAGCTTTTTTCAACCCCTGCATTGATGTTCATACAAAAGCCGCCATATTTCAAAATGATAAACGTTCCAAAAAGAAAACGTCACCAAAAAGAATTGAAGACAAAATATTTAAGTTGAAAAACCTACTAGAATCATACGTTACAAGCTGAACATCTCATCTTTTTGACCTTCTCATTAATAACGGAGCCAAGAAGGCTCAAGTTTTTCTCTCTATGCCACCCAACCTTTGGCAAATGTATCCAAATAATATTCAGTTCAGGGAAACAAATGAAAGTAGTTAATGACTGTGTAGAGAAAAGGATTGCTTTAATCTAGACCTTCAACTCTTCGATAATGAAAGACAAAAAGCAAAAGCAATACCTTTTGCAGGTTGTCAGCACTAATTGGAAAGCCTTTCCAGAGCCATCAAAGTGTCTGTTGAAAAAAGTCTCGAAATAAACAATGTAAACAAAAATAAACAAAAACATTACATTACAATATGTGAATTAATTTCAGTATAACTAGAACATCTTTGAGATATTTTATTTCGTTTTTGTTTTGTAACATTTTTCTTGCTAAAGAAAATAATTTTTACATTACTTCTTGTTTTTTCCATTGCAACAACATTTATTGTTCAAAATTGTACAACTCCTAGTTATGTTTAAAAAATTTTTAAAATTAGATAAAATAGTCCATATGGGGAAAAGAAGAAAAACAAATGTGACCCAACTTAACTTTCCGCTTTTCAATTTTTTGGGCCACTCTAATAATTATATTTTAAAATTTTATTACAAACCTCCGCAATTGAAACCTTTTTAAATTTTTATTACAAACCTCCGCAATTGAAACCTTTTTGGCATTTACAAACAAACACATTATTTTCAACAACACAATCTGCATATGGGCTGCATTGAAATGATCCACAAATATCTAAATAAAAATTATAACAAATTTAAAAATAACAAAATTAAAAACAAAATGCTAAACCAGTTGGAACACAAAAAATTATGTGAATTTTTTTTTTTTTAACTTCAAGACATACACTATCTTGAAAGATGTTGTTAATCATTGGAATTTATGTATGAAAAGTTGAGTAAACTATTAGAGTAATAAATATTGATTTGTCTCATTTCATTCATTCACCGTTTCACGTTTTCATATTTTTTGTTATGCTAAATATCAAATATCAACAGATTGATTTGTCCTAGAATGCATTCAATAACATTTTTTGCATTGAACTTTTACTGACTAATTTAAAAATTAAAACCACAATTATGCAGAATTTAATGACTTCATTGATAATCTTCATTGTAAATTAAATTGCTAGTTTGTATAGTACAATTTCTATACTTTTTGCCCAATATTAAACTAAAAATTTAACCAAAATAATTCAAAAAAATGTATTCTTATTAGACAATGATATAAACAATATGTTGCCAAATTTTGAAAAATTAATCATAAAATCCAACAGTAAATGTTTGCTACATCATATGCTCAGATTCAGCTGTAAACATTATCACTGTTTCAATTAATATTGCTTATTAATATCAAATTTGTACATAATTTATGTACAATTTTTACAAAATGTGTTTTTCCCTTTAGAGTATTTTTATAGATGTTAACAATTATAAAAGATTTTTAGAGCATTTAATTGATGTTAAAACAATCATAAAATTTAAAAAAATTGCAACTTAAATTTCTGTTGATAACTTTCTGTTGATAAATTTCTGTTGATAACTTTCAATTACTTATTTATTTACTTTTTATTACTTGTTGACTTTTAATTATTTATTTACTTTTTATTACTTGTTGACTTTTAATTATTTATTTACTTTTAATTATTTATTACTAATAAATGAACTTACTTGGAGGCTGTGATGGTTTATCTATAGGATCTATCACAATATCGCTGTATGATGTTGTTACTGTGGTGTTATTAACAGTTATACCTTTGATAAAAGTTGAGTATGAAACTCCCTTTTCCAGGGGAGGATTTGATGGAACCAAAACTGAATAAAAAGATATTTAACAAAATATATAATACTTTAGAGAACAATACGTAATAATAATTATTATAATAATTAAAAACAGGATTAAATTCTAATGATTTGATATTTTTAATAAAAAATATTTTAATACTAGAGTCTCTTCGTTTACGATTAGATCCTCCACCCACTGTAAAGTTTTTGATCTTACTATTTGCATCAAGAATCCCTACTAAATACAGGCCATCTGTGTGGTTACTTATTTCATCCCATGAGTATGATTCTGGATTTCTTGCAGGTAAAGAGTCAGATAGTAGCTTTACCAAAATGATATAAAATGTTCTGGAAAAGCAAAACAAATAAAGTTAATTCTCCACAAAAATGAAATTTTATGGCTACACCAAAATTAAAACTTTAGATTCTAGGTTTTAATCGTGTTCATTTATATAATATAATATATTATAATATATATTAAATGATAGACATGGTACATAAACAAAATTTTAAACAAAAAAAAATGTTATAGGGTAAATTTTATTAAAATTCAACAGTCTTAAAGGTTTTGTATCAACTATCTTATCATCATCATGATTTAAAATTCAATTAACAAAATTTTAAACAAAAAAAAATGTTATAGGGTAAATTTTATTAAAATTCAACAGTCTTAAAGGTTTTGTATCAACTATCTTATCATCATCATGATTTAAAATTCAATTAACTAAAAAATACTATAAATAACCTTAGAACTAAAAATATTATAAAGGAACAAAACCTTATATATACTGTATATAATTTTTATTATTATTTTTTTTTACTGAACTCTTTGTAATGTTTCTTTATTATTTGTTGGGAAACTTTTTGTTGTTGTTGTAAATCACTATTATTTGTTAGGAAAGACAAATTAATTTTTATTATCTTGTTGTGATTTTTTATTATTTGTTTTAACTTATATAAATTAGATCTTATAGATATTAAGGATAATATTACATTAAAAATAATATATATTTTAATAGATATTAAGTGAACTATTAAATTAAAAACAATATATATACTATAATTGATATTAGGGGAAATATTACATGAAAATAATATTTATTATAATACATATTAAGGGAAATATAATATTAAAAATAAAGTGTTTTATAATAAATAATAAGAGAAATAGGACATAATATTTATATTATGTCCTATTTCTCTTATTATTTATTATCATAATTATGTAATTTTTTTTTTATAAATATGGTTTATAAATATGTAAATTTTTCTTCATTCCAAAACGAAAACTTTTAAAATACAACTAAAATATTTATTATTTTTTTACATTAATTTTTTTTTTAATGTGTATAATTATTTTAATAAAAATTAAAAAAAAAAAAATACTTGCCATAAAATGTAAAAAAAAAAACTTACTTCATTAAACTGTTAGATATTAGGTTGTTTGGAATAACTATTACAAAAGATGTAGAGTTCACCTTGTAAGCTATTGAATTAAAAATGTAATAATAAAATATGCTCAAGTAGAAAACTTGAAAAGTAATATATATTTGTAATAATAAAAAACAACACTTAAAAATAAAAAATACCTGTCGGTGTAGCCTGAGTTGTTGTAGTTTGCGTTGATGTAGGTTGAGTTGTTGTAGTTTGAGTCAATGTAGCCTGAGTTGTTGTAGCCTGAGTTGTTGTAGCCTGAGTTGTTGTAGCCTGAGTTGTTGTAGCCTGAGTTGTTGTAGCCTGAGTTGTTGTAGCCTGAGTTGTTGTAGCCTGAGTTGTTGTAGTCTGAGTTGTTGTAGCCTGAGTTGTTGTAGCCTGAGTTGTTGTAGCCTGAGTTGTTGTAGCCTGAATTGTTGTAGCCTGAGTTGTTGTAATCTCAGTTTTTGTAGCCTTAGTTGTTGTAGCCTCAGTTGTTATAGCTTTTATTATTTCAGTTGCTGATTGACTTGACTGGGAAATTTTTGCAGTTGTTGAAACTTCAGTTAGATTGATTGCAGGTGATGATGATGACATTATAAAAGTTTGGTTAATAGTTCTATTTTCCAAAAATTTTAAAGATGAAGTTGTAAATTCTAAAGTTGAATTCAAAATAAAAGAACTAATAGCTTGTGGGGTTTGAGCAGGTGTTTGAGCAGTAGTTTGTGCAGGTTTAGTTGTTGATTCCTGAATTATAGTTGCAAATTTACTAGTTGTTGGTGTAAATTCAACAATTGCAGACAAAGTTGCAGATAAAGTTGCAGACAAAGTTGCAGAAGATACAAGTGTTTTTTTGGGTGCAAATGTTGTTGAAAAATGTCCTGTAGATGTAGAAATGATTTGCAAACTTGGTGTTATAGAATCAGTAGCTGATGTTTGAAAAGCTATAGCTGAATATTCAGTAGATACAATTCTAGATTCCGTAGCTGTTACTATAGAAGTTGTATACTCAAGAGCTTTATTAGTAGATTTTAAAATTGAAATATTAGAAAAAGGAATTGGGAAACCAGTAGGTGCTGATCCAAAATCTAAAGTTGCAGACTCATTAGGTGCAGCTGTCAATACAGACATTGTAAAAAAAGATTCAGCAGATGTGTATGCAGAATTGGTACTTTCAGTCATATATTCAGCAGATAAGTATGCAGAATTGCTAGTTCCAAACATATATTCAGCAGACGTGTATGCAGAATTGGTAGTTCCAGTCATATATTCAGCAGATATGTATGCATAAGTGGTAGTTCCAGACATATATTCAGCAGATATGTATGCAGAATTGGCAGTTCCAGTCATATATTCAGCCAACGTGTATGCAGAGTTGGTAATTCCAGTCATATATTCAGCAGATGTGTATGCAGAATTGGTAGTTCCAGTCATATATTCAGCAGATGTGTATGCAGAATCAGTAGTTCCAATCATATATTCAGCAGATGTGTATGCAGAATTAGTAGTTCCAGTCATATATTCAGCAGATGTGTATGCAGAATCAGTAGTTCCAATCATATATTCAGCAGATGTGTATGCAGAACTGGTAGTTCCAGTCATATATTCAGAAGATGTGTATGCAGAATCGGTAGTTCCAGTCATATATTGAGCAGAAGTGTATGCAGAATTGATAGTTCCAGTCATATATTCAGCAGATGTGTATGCAGAATTGGTAGTTCCAGTCATATATTCAGCAGATGTGTATGCAGAATTGATAGTTCCAATCATATATTCAGCAGATGTGTATGCAGAATTGGTAGTTCCAGTCATATATCCAGCAGATGTGTATCCAGAATTGGTAGTTCCAGTCATATATTCAGTAAATATGTTTGCAGATTTAGGAACAGTAATAGATTCAGTTGTAGAAGATTCAGTTGTAATAGTTGATGCAGTTATAGTGATAAATTTAAAAACTGAATTTGTAGATTCAAGACTTTCTGAGCTAGTCTCAGTAGACACAAATGTAGATGTAGTAGGTGTTGCTGTAGATTTAAAAACTATAGATTCAATAGTTTCATAAGTTGAAACTGCAGAATCTGGAGTTGCAGAATTAGACTCAGTAGATGCACCTGTAGATTTGGTAGCTTCAGTTATATGCTCAGTAAATATATTTGAATATAAAGGAGTAGTAGTATAATCAGTTGTATCAGATACAGTTGTAACATTAAATGCAATTGTTACAACTGTAGATGCAGTAATAGTATATACAGATGTATTGGCAAATTCAAAACTTGAAATTATGGACTCAGGACTTGCAGAATTAAATTCAGTAGATGTATCTGTAGGTATGGTAGCTTCAGTTAAATGTTCAGTAAATATATTTGAAGATATAGGACTTGTAGTAGTAGAATCAGTTGTATCAGATACAGTTGTAACAGTAGATGCAGTTGTAATAGTAGATGCAGATGTATTGGCAAATTCAAAACTTGAAATTGTGAACTCAGGACTTGCAGAATTAAATTCAGTAGATGTATCTGTAGATATGGTAGCTTCAGTTATATGTTCAGTAAATATATTTGAAGATATAGGACTTGTAGTAGTAGAATCAGTTGTATCAGATACAGTTGTAACAGTAGATGCAGTTGTAATAGTAGATGCAGATGTATTGGCAAATTCAAAACTTGAAATTATGGACTCAGGACTTGCAGAATTAAATTCAGTAGATGTATCTGTAGATATGGAATCTTCAGTTATATGTTCAGTAAATATATTTGAAGATATAGGACTTGTAGTAGTAGAATCAGTTGTATCAGATACAATTGTAACAGTAGATGCAGTTGTAATAGTAGATGCAGATGTATTGGCAAATTCAAAACTTGAAATTGTGGACTCAGGACTTGCAGAATTAAATTCAGTAGATGTATCTGTAGATATGGTATCTTTAGTTATATGTTCAGTAAATGGATTTGAAGATATAGGACTTTTAGTAGTAGAATCAGTTGTATCAGATACAGTTGTAACAGTAGATGCAGTTGTAACAGTAGATGCAGTTGTAATAGTAGATGCAGATGTATTAGCAAATTCAAAACTTGAAATTGTGGACTCAGGACTTGCAGAACTAAATTCAGTAGATGCATCTGTAGATATGGTATCTTCAGTTATAAGTTCAGTAAATATATTTCCAGATTTAAAAGTTGTAGAATCAGTTGTATTAAATCCAGCTGTAATAGTAGATGCAGATGTAATAGTAGATACAGATGCAACAGTAGATGGAGTTGTAGAAGTGAATTCAAAACTTGAAATCGTTGAGGAATAGTTACTTGAAGGTTCAGATGTTGGTGCTGCCTCAGTAACTGTAAATAAGAATTAAAAAAAAGTATATATATACAAAAAAATACATCATCATAACCAATATAGTGCACTAGTTTCTGCATTTACAGCTTAGAAATTCACGTTCATAGGGATTTTATGATGCAAAACCATTTTTTTTGTCCTTTACCACTATTATACATAAAGGCTCCAGGTTCAAAACTGATAGTTCTTGTACTTTAGGTGTGCTGATTATTTTCACCTTAGTAGTCTTAGATTATGTAACTTTCAAATTCTAAGTCTTTTTTGGAACAGCACATCCCTGGTAGCACAATTCATTTATACATTTACTGAAATTTTTGGCTAAACTAAATTAATTCTGTTTTTTGGAAAAATGAAGAGAAAAAAAAATTAATGAAAAAAAATTACTGCTCTAAAAATATGTTTTTTTAAGAATCATTTGATCTCAACCTTTCTATCTTCAAGCAAGAAGAAAGTTATTACTCACTTGAATTTTGATTATGCTTAAGACACCTAGCTGTGCAATGTCAAACAATCACAGTCATTAACAAATTCTGTTTCATTTTACTGCTGATTTATGTTAGCATTTTTCTTTAACTTAAATTAGTTTTACAAGTTTTGATATGGCATGATATTCTGATTGCTAGCTTTACTCCAAAAAGTTGTTGACATGTGAATAACACCTGTTAAACTTCTTGAATTTTTTTTATAAATATTTAAGTCTTGTAGTGGTGAAAAAAACAACACCTGACACCTGATTTTTTAAAGGAAGTTTACTCAACCAAATTGAAGTTTTTCTTCTAATTTTTGCTTAACATTTAGCCATATTTCAAAACTTTATTTTTAGAAAGTTAGTAAAATAATTGTTACATTAAAAATTTTTCAAAATAATAAACATATTTGCAGTCTCTACTATAGACTGTAAATAAGATTTTTCTAATGTGATAGCCTTAAAAAACCCCATCTGAAAATTATGTAACTGAGATTAATAAATGTTAATTATCTGCTAATAGTAAATCCAACTGAAAAACAACTTTGTACTTCATGTCTGAGCCAAGTATTTTTAATAAAATTAAATGAATGGTTTCCATGAAAGTTCAATAGAAAAAGTTAATTCAGTAAAACAGAATAGACTCCGAAAGAGTGTTGTCATTCATCAATATAAAAATATTTTTTCGTATATGCTTGTTATGATGATTAGTAGTAAACAACTTTTTTATTGTTTATTTGTTTTTTTGTTTCGTTGTTTATTTAGGTTAAAACTTATTAGCTTTAAGCTGTCACAAAGGAGATATCATACTAAAAACTGACTCTTAAGTAACCCAAAAAGAGATTTTTCTAAAGAGGTTACTGTGATACAAGATCAGTGTTTACTATCAAGTTCAAATTTTACTCAGCAATTCGAAAAGATTCAATAATTTTGAAAAATGTCCAAGATATGATAGCAAAGAAAACCAGAGTGATTAAGATGTCTAACAATGGATTAACATGTTTGTTAGGGATGTCAAGAAGTATGTGGTCATTATATTCAAGAGATTGTTTAGGAAAAACATTTTTTGTAAACAGTTCTTTTTAATTTTTTGAAAAAGTGATATAAGAGAAAGGATTTAAGACCTGCTTTTAATAATGACAAAGATTTTCAAAAGTTCTCTAGAATATAACAATAAAATAATAAAATTTAGTAACCTAAGAATAATAAACTTTAGTGTTAAATTATACCTTTTTGCGTAAGGCTCATTCAATAATAAAAAGATGTCTGTTCTATTATATCTACATTCATTCTTCAATTACTGCATTAATAAAAAATGTTTACACTTTTTTTGTAAGCAGTTGGTAGAAAAAGATGTTTTTAGCTCAAACAGATGGAAAAATATATCAGGTGGAAAAACCAAAAAATAATAAAGACCTTTGAATGATGAAGAATCTTTTGAATAAAACTCTATTTCTTAGTACATCATTAGAGCGCATTATTAAGTAATATAAGTACAAATAAATTATTTCTTGAATGTTATAATTATAAGTACAAATAAATTCATTCTA